GTTCATGATGGCTCACTTCAGTGATAGTGATGACATCGCTGCGAAATTATTAACCGAGTCATTTTCAAGATTGAGTTACAATGATAAACTGGAGTGGCAAAGGATCAGCTGAATGACCCGCAAGTGCTTCATCCAAAAGGACAGGAGGATGGACTTTGTGTTTAAGTGATTTGATCATCAAAAGTAGGCCTCAGTCATTTTCAATGTGGGCCGCCGTGCCGACTTAATTCATTTGTAATTGTTACTTGGCTGTGGATGCCCTGTCATGATAGGTATTTATATAAATGGTGTTGTTTTGTGTGTTAGAGGGTCGCTGTCATTGATGCGTTTTGCACCCCGGGCCGCTGTTTTGATATTCCGCTGAAGTATACGCTGTGACGTAATATCTCTTCTTTTTAAGAGGGAAGGGGGGGAAGGTCAGAGGGCCTAGGTATAAAAGTCACGGCTCGCCACTGGCATGGATAATGAGCATTAGAAAGTAAACACCTAAGCACAATATAAAGCGAACTGCATAAATTGTACGCCATTAAAGGTGTTTGCTTGACAATTGTCATAGAATACGAGATAAATTTAAGGTTGGACCTCAGGTTTTTGAGGCATGGATTATCTTACTGGTCTTTGTGATTTTGGTAGTAGGTTATGTCGCGGTTCCCAAGCAGGGTCCTATTAATGTAGATGGCCAAGGTGCTCCAGCTCAGTAAGATGATAGAAAGCTCAAGAAGATTCCACGTGCTCCTGAAGTAAGCACACCGCTGCTGCTTCATTAATTTGGCCTTGGAGGAAAAGAAAGAGAGATGTTCATATGGGACATTAACCTGTTTGTATGCAAGACTCTGTTAATTATGAAAGCTTAACATCTTCCACTAAATACTTTCTTTATGTAGGCAACATTATTTTTAAATGATATTTGGGATTTAGTTTTTTAAGAAAACATGTTTTCTTTTATTATATTGGTAATACAAAAGGAAAGATTAATGGTTTTCTTGTTTTGAAATCAGTCAACAGTTACTGCAATATGTATGTATTCAAACTGATTTGTATGCAGTATTTCTGAGTGACTGCTCACAATACTTTGATCTCAATGCTGTTTGATATCCAAACTTCCAAGTGATCTTCAAAGGAGTGTGCAAAAATATCCTGTATTAAATGTTGTCAAGTGCTGTAATTAAATAAATATTGCTTTGCAGGTGTTGCTGAAACAAAACACTAATAAGTCCATGTTTTTTCTATCCCCTGCATCGAAATACCAGTCTCAAGGGGCTGAAGAAAGGACACACAATGTAACATTATTATAGCTAGGGTTGGAATGGTGGATACCAGACACAAAAAAATATCAAAATGGCTCTAAGATGAAGTATAATTAACTTAAGACGCAGCGCTGCACAAGCTGTGCTGTAGATGAAAAGGAAACAATGATTTTAAAGCCATTAAAGAAGGAAAACACACAGAAAGATTCATGTTATTATATCCTCACACCAACATCAGTATTGCATCAACACATTAGCGTTCATGTCGTCAGTATTTATTTCCTCGAATACACTTACTACGTGAGGCAATATAGTGTTTGGATAATAAGGTGCTCTGGGTCGGCTGTGAATTGCTCTTCGGAATTAACAAGCAAATTAACATTTGCTGAGTAAACAATGTCAACACATGTAAGTCTGTGGTAAGATGATATGTTAATATCAACTTGTAAGATTAATCTCACTATGCTCTGTCACAAACACTCTTCAATGATGGAAAATTGTTCGAAAACCAAAAAGGAAATCAAACTAGGGTGACTGGGTTCATGTGAACAGGCTAATGAGCCTTGACCGCTTATTATCAGTTCAGTCACAGTTTAGTGTTTGTGAATCACTCAGTGAAAATAGAAAGCCCTTGCCTGTCTTATTACCTGTAATAAAATAGGGACATGAAAAACAAAGAGACAAGCAATTCATGGGAAGTGGAACAATATTTTGTTGTGGTCGTGTACCTGCAGGAACATGTAATAGAGGATGAAAAGCAGGTACATGATCTCAGCAGCCAAGACAAAGATGTGAAGACCACCAGTTGATTGGTAAAGACGAACACTCTGCAACTCACTATAGAATTGAAAAGCTCCTAAAAAATGATCAGAAACACCTTTATTAGTTATAATTACAGTTTGCAAGAAGAAACAGAATCTGACAGTACGTTTTTACATGCAGAGACTGGTGAAGTGTTATACATCTGCATTCAATTCCCCTTAGCAAAGTTATGATAGCACAATGTATGCACCTTTTAAGGGAAGCACTCAACCTTACCTACAGCTGTTGTCTCAAGCAAGAGTGTGACAATGCAGAAGAGGTTCACATTAGCGTTGTAAACGGTAAACTCCACAAAGATTTCCCTTGTGTATGCATCCAACCAAGTGTTCCTGAACAGATACTCAAGGGTGCTGTGAATGAAGGAGAATGTTTTTACTGAAGGCCTTCTTACGTGATCCTATAAAGCACAATATTTCAGCTTACATCATCCTTTGATTTTTATAAACAAATGTGTATTGAAAAGTTCAGTTCATTTATGTAGATCATTTCCAAACTAACAAGGTTAACCAAAGGTCTCTAAAGTGGTAAACAACATATACAATATGAAAGACACATCAAAGCCTAGTAAAAACATGGCTGCCAATAACATAGAAACATCTATAAAATGTCCATGTAACTGTATAAAACAGGAGGGCAGAATTCAAACGTCTGATCCAAAATGCAACTGTGGTGAAGTCTAGGGACGGTGGCCGCAAAGGTATAATCAACTTTGTAGTGGAATTGTGGGATTACTAGGCGGCCAGTGTGGAAATAACAAAGAGCTATAGGGCTATAGTGGAGGCTATAGTGGAGGCTTGGTATGTCAAATGGGGAGGGCACATCCATTCAGAACTTGATAACATTTGGTGGATCTGAAAATAATTATGAAATGGCAGCCATTGCAGGTTGTGAAGTGCTGGTTAAGCAGCCTAGAAGCAGCCTTCACAACAAGTGTCAGGCAGGACATGAATGACTGAGAGTAAAGGTCATTTCAAGATCAGTCTGTTATTGCTGAGTATTTCACGGTCAAATCTGGCTTATGTCAATGTCAATATATTTATTTATAAAATCTAAGGGGTACTGAACCTACTTGCCAACTGAGGATAATTAAAACTTGTGGGCCAGTAAAAAAGAAAAAAAGAAATGGAGATTATCTATTGTTCTTGTAATGATTCATTCCCTTTTTGCTAATGTACGTACCGGCTGGCGTTCTGTGAATCCGGGCCGATCTCCGCTACAAAGCCACCTCCCCTGTACAGTACCATGTTGCCCCAGAAAGGATGAGCCCTGAGCTGAGTCTGTGTTTGGTACGTCCATGGGCTGAAGGTGCTTCTAGAGACATTCTCCTTAACCAAATAGTTCCAGCCAGGGTCATAGGAGCCCATATCCTCCAAGTCCCATGAATATGGAGCGTGACAGTCTGGTACAAACTCCTGCATGTAGCCTGCAATTTGACAGGAGTTCTTCTGCACTCTCAGTTGACGGAGACGGGCGTTACCTACTAGCTTGGAGTTTCCATCTGTAATAAATCCTGGGACAGAAACATTTAAAGTTAATTTTTGGGAATTGTTCTGCGGCAGTGCTAATGGAAAGTTAAGTGTGTGGTCTCTATATGTCACATATTCAAAGATTTTGAAGAGTAAATTGGGTCAAAGCCAAGGACAATTTCGCCACATGCAATTGTTACTGAATAACATTGATGATGTTATTAAGTTTACAGATAAATACAAATCAATCGGTTTAATAAAGCACTTATATTATAGTGTGCAAAGTTTAACTAATGGGTTGACCAATGTTTTGACTCAGTTTCATTGTTTGACTACTGGGTTATTTAACCAACTAACATATTGATGTGTTGAACAAGTTCATGTTATACCATAACACCGTCACAAATGTAATATCAGTTGTGTAAATTAATGATCATATCAAGCCGGACAGACACTTCGTATTTGTATTGATGATGTATGTAATTTTGTCAACTTGTGTTACACGTTTTATCAGATTTGTGTATGGATCATGATACTTAGATGTGGGATCTCACACTGAATGTAATAAAGTTAACAAAAGCCCAATTTTTTGTCTGAGAGTTTTGTTATTTATGGTATTAATAAATTGATATTGCAAAAGTGTTATAAATTCTCTTGTACTTTCAACTGCACGTCAAATAGGAACTCATATGGTGACCAATCCAGGGCAGTTCGGGATTCATTTGTGCAATATAGCAATACAAAAAACAAAGGTTACATAGAAAGTTATGAACTTGTAATACACTGTGATGTGTCTTCAAAAAGAGCCAAAGTAGATGTACAGTTAAACAAAGATAACACAAGACCTGCTTCAAAACAACTAATGTCTAAGGTGATTTTCTTCTCATTTAGTACTGGGTAAAGTGAACTCATAACCATTAGATTCATGCAGTAATGTCCATTAAAAGAAGGTTATTCAGTGAGTATGTTTTGGTAACATGAAGCATCTGGCTCCTGGTAATTGCTCCCTCTGGCATTATCCTACATGAAGAACTTTACATATCCAACTGTCTAATCTCCTAAGAAATGAGCAAAAATAAAAAAACATCCTGCTCCTCTGCGTTGGAGGTATTTGCTATTAAATTCCAAAGCATGAGAGAAGGACGTTTTCTGGAGGGCAACCAAGGTTTATGCATCCCACACTTTTGGAACTAAACATCCTTGGTCTTACAAAAACACAAACAAAACAAAGAAAAGCTGCTTTAACTCGAAGCGGTGTTAGTTGTAAAATAATATCTGCCCTCTGCATCAGGGAAACACCTTTACCTGGATAAACTCCAAAAAGGTTTTTTAGTAGCAATGTGTTGGCCCATGTGAACACATCTCCAGGACTCATGCTGTCTTTGGTCCCTTGACTGAAGCTATCCCGGATGTGTCGTTTCAGGAAAAAAGCGTTGGGATCTTTCTCGCCGTACGCCACCAGCAGCAACATCCACATAAACCCCATGTAGGCTGCAACAAATGGGCACATCAACGTTAAACACACTCTACATCATTAACAGAATGAAGCATCGGAGGTCAGTTAGAAATTATTAAAAGCAATTGCTGCGATTTTTGAGAATACATGTTTAAATTCCCAGCTGTGATGATCATGTCCATGAAATGGCACATATAGACGTGAAAATGTTTTTATGATGATAAGCCATGTAATGATATGATAATGGACCATCAGTATGTAATTAAAATAACAACATAGAGTTGTTAGCTCAATATGGTTAGTTAAAAAACAATAAATGTATATATATGAAGCATTTTGCTGATCATCTTTCGCCCCTTTGTATATTAAATATTAATTTCGGTTGGTTGACTTTTACATTTACTTACAGTTGTGTCTAGCTTTTATTTTATAGGAGACATATTTTACTTGTAACACTAATGAAGGCTTTGTACTAATTAAGAAACTCAGTAAGTCATTACGGAGAGGACCACAATGTATTGTTTTTTATCCTAATTCAATCATTTATTCAGGTATGTAATAACTTCAGTGCAATGTTTTTTTTTTATTATTAGATACATTTATTTCAGAAAGTGTGACAGGGAGCCAGCATGCAACCAGGATCCTGAAACTCAGGCTGCTAAATGGATTTCAGCTATAACTAATTGTATTATTACACCTCTTTTTTTCATACTGTCAAACATTTCATACTGTTTTGACATAACATGTCAAAACGTCTGCCCTGAAAGGCCTAAAGTCCTTTGAAAATTAATTAATGAGAAGGTGGCCAGTGAGTTTAATTCAACCTGTCACATTCATTCCATGCTGTTTTTTTTCATCTTTTTGTGTTTGCAAAATTTATAGAAAGAGTTATAATGGGATAGCTAAAAATGTGTGTGGATTCAGGTTTGCTTTTACTAACACTGAAGCCTGTGAATGACAAATGATATAATTGCATTGTAATATTAAAAATGTATAATAAAAAGTACTTATAACTTAATAAAGCCAAAGAACTGTGTTTTTACTTACTCAAAATCTCCTTGAGGAGGGCAAAGGCTTTTTGTTCCATAATCTTGTGCCTTTTCATCTTCTCAATGTCATCAGCAGCAGGCGGCACATAGAGACTGTTATCCCGTCTGACTGTTAGTGGTTCCTTACAATCACCTGGGGATGAAGAGTTATTGTATATTTTAACACCTTAACATTTAAGGACATAATATTCAATAACAGTATAGTGTTGGATTTGTTACTGAAAACACAGGGAAATAAAGGAATATATACACACAAATCACATGAACAAGACACAGTTGGAAATGGCAGGCAAACACCCATAGGCAGCAGAGTGATAGGACACTGGTTGGGCAAACAATCACAAAAAGCGTGCTTTTTTCAATCATTTACCTAGATTTTTGTCATTTCTTTCAAACGCCACATTTTGAAAATCTTCCTCATCCACTTTCTTTATTACGAGTGCAAAGAAAATTGCTAGAAATATCACCTGTGGTAAAATATATTAGTGAATTATGATGTTCCTTTTCAAATTAAATAGCATGTGAGCATATGCTTATAAATAATTATCTTCATAGGAACGTTAAAACTTTGAAATAAACTATGAAATGAACCTTTCTAAAACACAAAGATTCCAATGTAAATACTGGTGTAGTTATAAAGAGGGAATGGCTGCTTCTTCTCACCTTCAGTGGCTGAATGACGAGGATACTCTGAAAAAAGGAGACAATCATGGACACCAACCAGCTTGCAGAGCGTTCCTTCCCAAATTTCAAACCATAAAGCATTGTGAAATATCCTGAAACAAAACTGCTTGCGATCATAAGCGCCCAGCCAACACAAATGAACCACCATGGAAGCCCTCCGTTACAGCACCCTCTTTTCTTCCGATTACCATCACCATCAGTGCTGTCTTCAGGGCTCGACCTGAAGGTGAAAGCAGTGAACGAATATAATTAACTTAACAATAACCTCTCCTCTGAAGTGTATGTACAGGTAAGGTGAATGTAAGCCAATTAGACACAGATTGTGTATTCATTCATGAATAGGTTTGGAGAAACATTATTGCTGCCATAGATATAGGATAAGAAAAAAGCAGTACCATTGTCATGTTTGTATGGTCAAGATGAAGCTACAGGTGCTAAGATTAGCTTGGTTTAGCATCAAGACAAAGAAATATTATGGGAGGGGGGG